AGGTAGCCTTTCGCTCACGCAATGGATTCATTGCTAATCTATCTTAGACGTGTTTCTATAGATGATAGAGATGGATTTGTTGTGTGATATTAAGAAAAAAAAAAAAAACGTTTTGGCCAGATTGCAACTTTTCGCTCCTCGAGAAAAGTTTCTTTTGTCGTTTTCTCTCTTTTCTGTGCCAGATAGCCTTGTCTCTGCTTGCGTTGTGATGTACCAAGATTGAACCAAGGGGGAGTACCTCATTCTCTCCGGCCCGTGATGGTGACTCCTAGTCTCAGTTGTTACCTTGTATAGCGCGCAGAGGGAGTGGAGGACTCCAGAATATCTGTCGTTGATTTCTATTGACTTTCGGACCCCTCGAGGCAATTTTATTTGAGTGTACATTTTTAGGGAAAGTAAGTCAACCTGCGACCACGGAAATCGACCGCGTCGAGTGTTGGATCAGTACGGACATACGAAAGTACTGGCTAGAGGGAGATCAGAACGGTTTTTAATGTGAAGACAACGACGACAACAACAACAACAACAACAACAACAACATACAAATGATGTAAATGCATGAAATGATACACTCTGTCATTGCTTATGGTCCGCGCTGCCTACAAGTAAATGGGAAAGGTAGCTATACCTTCTGCCGACACACGGGCGAAAGAGGCGACCATACCCACTGCATTTAACACACACCCACATGTCAGTGATGAAACCCCAACCATACGCCTCTGTCGGCGGCCACGTCAGGAGGCAATGATGAGATAATGTTCCCCGGTGCCCTTCTCACATTGAACGACATGCCATTAGTCTACACAACAAGGTAAATATGTTCTCCCGCGCCGCACATGCCCCCATACATCACACATAAAAAAAAAGTTGACGAAAATATTCACACCCCGAGACACGCTTGCTCCGCAACCACATAAGGGTCCTATAATAGAACACCCGACAAACCGAGTTCCCCTAGATCTTCCGTCTACAACTTCCCAACATAACATACAGATAGATACACAAGATGGCTACCAAACTGTCTTGTTGAGCCTGTTACCCACAGGGAAGTTATCGTTGTATGCTGTCTGGGAAACCGTAGACATGCAGGTAGCCTTCGGTAACGCTATGGATTGATTGCTAATCTATCTCAGACTTATTTCTTTAGATGGAGATGGATTTGTTGTGTGAAATCAAGAAAAAAAAAAATTGCGGAACTTTTTGCGCAACTTTTTGCTCCCATACTGGGCGTACATTTGGAATGTTGCAAGAAAAGTTGCAACGTTTGTGAGCCATAATAAGCGGTCTAATGTCTTCATAAAAAAATATGTGGACTTTTTTCCATAGGCGCGAACACCTGTGTGCCTGGGCACTCGGATGAGGGGGGCTCAAAGCCGCATTCTCCTGGGGGGGCGAGGGGGGGCGGTTTACTTGCTTCAACCCCCTTCTGTGTTGACTGCCTGCTGAGAGGGCGTGGCTCGCGAGCGACCTCCTCGTGGGCAGGCATCGCTCGATCTTTGGCGACAGGAGAGGGGCGACGCGTGGACGGATAGGTGGACAAAGGGGAGCGTTTCATCAACCTTCGTTCCCCTGATGAACGCCTTCTGCGGCAGTTCTNACGTTTGTGAGCCATAATAAGCGGTCTAATGTCTTCATAAAAAAATATGTGGACTTTTTTCCATAGGCGCGAACACCTGTGTGCCTGGGCACTCGGATGAGGGGGGCTCAAAGCCGCATTCTCCTGGGGGGGCAAGGGGGGGCGGTTTACTTGCTTCAACCCCCTTCTGTGTTGACTGCCTGCTGAGAGGGCGTGGCTCGCGAGCGACCTCCTCGTGGGCAGGCATCGCTCGATCTTTGGCGACAGGAGAGGGGCGACGCGTGGACGGATAGGTGGACAAAGGGGAGCGTTTCATCAACCTTCGTTCCCCTGATGAACGCCTTCTGCGGCAGTTCTCCGCGCCACGCGCCAGCCCCACACGCAACCACAATTTTTCCGTCCTCTGTCCCGTCCTTTCTTCCTTTCACCTTCATCATGTCCCAGAACCAGCACCGTCTCACCCCGTCGTCGTCCAACTCGCACAGGAGGCCCGCCCGCAACAGCTCTTCTTCTGGGAGAGGGTCGTCCTCCAGCGGCGGTTCGAGCGGTTCTTCCAGCAATGAGCGCCGCCACACCAACGGGTCTGGCATCGGCAAGAACAGATGCCGGCGTGCTGCCATCTTCGACGATGGAAGAGGAGGACGAGAACGTCGACCCCCGACAGGCCGTCGCGGATTTAGTGAAGGTGAGACCGCGGGTGTTGGAGCACACATCTCGCACATAGTCTCCGATNCGCAACCACATTTTTTCCGTCCTCTGTCCCGTCCTTTCTTCCTTTCACCTTCATCATGTCCCAGAACCAGCACCGTCTCACCCCGTCGTCGTCCAACTCGCACAGGAGGCCCGCCCGCAACAGCTCTTCTTCTGGGAGAGGGTCGTCCTCCAGCGGCGGTTCGAGCGGTTCTTCCAGCAATGAGCGCCGCCACACCAACGGGTCTGGCATCGGCAAGAACAGATGCCGGCGTGCTGCCATCTTCGACGATGGAAGAGGAGGACGAGAACGTCGACCCCCGACAGGCCGTCGCGGATTTAGTGAAGGTGAGACCGCGGGTGTTGGAGCACACATCTCGCACATAGTCTCCGATGACTGTACAATAGTTAGTCAAGTACATGTCGTGCTCTTGTCCCGATAGCATGCGTGACTTGCTGCAGGTCACACGCTGAAATGTTCATCAGCCAGACCTGGAGTCTGAAACCTCGACATTCTCGTCCTGCTGTGGCCCACCGATCCCCTGATGCATGTAGCATGATGTGCTACTGCCAGCCTTTCCTGTGTTCATTCTTCTATCTCAACCGCTGGCATCTGCGCCTCCTGTCCACACAACCCTTGTTGGAAAAAGGTTCGAGAGACTCCATGTTCGTAAAAGCAACAATTCAAATTCCAAGGTAGCGGCGGAAGTAGCAGTAGAAGTACGATACATAACTGAAGTGTACACACAACACCGTGCGGAGAATGTAATATTTTTGATCCGTATGCTGTGACACCTGTTGTGCTTTGTTGTCACCTGTTTGCCTGCCGTGGCACGCGCCGGGGGGGGGGCGGG